TCCACTTCTTTTCTTTATGGCCCCACTCAAGCTCTCAAATGACCATGGTGACTATTCCCAGTCACACCTTCAGTCTCAACTGCAGTGCACCTCAACTGCAGTGTGTCCTCGCTAGCACTCTCCAAATATTGGATCCTGTCTCCACCACTACACCCAAAAGCATTTATCACAATTCTGCCTGGACTCTGAGAAAAAGAAGATATGATGGTCTAGTGGAAAAATCAGTATCTGGTAGGGCTATCTTATTCTTCCTGCTGATTTTTATTGGACAAACAAGTGAAACAGAGCATTTTAATGCAGAGAAGATAGAAGTTTGTTTTCATTGATGACTAAAACAATCATTCTCACATGTACTCACATAAATACTAGAACTTCAAAGCAATTAAGCTGTTCACTGAGCAGAAAAACGATTCTGTAATGTTTTTAGCAATTAAAGTATGATTGGCAGAGCCCAAAACATAATGATTAGGTTCATCATTTGAAGAAGGGTTTGAAGAAGGGTTTAAAGAATGTGCAAGGGCTCTTTTATTTATCCTTTATTAACATTTATCAAACAGTACAATCCCTCTATTTGTTTAATGCAGTGAATATTCTATTACTAGTTCATTACAAAAAATTTTGCATTATTGCCATCATTTTGTTTTTCATGTTCTGCAAGGGTTACAAGTGAAAGAAGCAAAAGTGTGATACACATTCACGTTCCCCTTGTCACACCTACTGAACTGAGCATTTAAATTTCATATGGGGTCATTAAACTAAACCATCTCTGTGACTGTTACTGAGTTAGAGATTTGGTGCTTTAAATCAAGGGACAAAGTGCAAGGTGTACCTCAAATGAACACAGCTGTGAAGTCAATTTGATAGCTAATACAAATTCAGTGTTCCTTGGTAAGCTCTGCTTGTTCCTTGTGTTTTTCCACTGATGATGAAGAATGCTGTGATAAAGCCAACAAAAGTGTGTGTCCCCATGCACTTGGTGCCTTACAAATATAAATTACAGTGTTTTGCACTCAGTGTGAGTGTCTGCTTAAGAGGACATTGTCTTGAGTTAGACATAGCAAATAAACAGAATAGCAATTTGCATTACTACTTTCTGTACTGCATTATGATTTTTCTCATTTTACGTAAATATCTAGATCAATAATGGCCCACTATGTTCTGCTAATTTTTTGTGTTTGTTTTGTTTTTTTTTTAAATGCCTGCTCTGCAGACAGATTCCATTTTTCATCTCTTTGGCTGTCCAGAAAGTGCATTTCATAATCAAAAGAAATTATTAGAGATGAAAGAGAGCATGCTATCCTCGAGGACATAAAAGCAGCATTTGTAGACCTGGATTCAGAATTCTCAGTTGTACAGATAACAGTATTAGGAGAGAGCGTCAGATGTAATGAAAGTAGTTGTGCTACAATTGCAGTTTGAGGTAGCACATGTATGAGGGCCAGCATTGGGAGTGAAAGGACAGTGTATACCTGCTGCATTTTAATGGGGCTTGCTGTTGTTTTGCAGAAAGTGATGTATGGCAGTCACATAACCTTCTGTCAAAGAATAGTCAGACACCAGCAGAAACCTAGAAAGGTGTCAAGCATCAAGTCTCCTACTCAAGAGGAGCCTGCAAGAGATAGATGTGCAATTTTACCAAGCAGTGGTCAACAGTAGCTTCAGATGCCTCCATTACAGTTATTAAAATGAGAATTCCAGTCCTGAGAATAGGTTTGTCTGGCAAGGAGAAAGAGACAGGAGAGTGAGAGGAAGGATACTTGAGGGTCTGGGTTTCAAGTTCACATGTATATGTGAACCATCATCTATCTATCTATCTATCTATCTATCTATCTATCTATCTATCTATCTATCTATCTATCTATCCATCCTCTTTTTAGCTGCATTTTCTGAGTTTCTAAGATTAATTTTATCATAAAAGCCATTCAGAGCCAAAGGATCATTTAGAAACAGATGCATTTTGTCAGATGAATGTCTTTCGTGTATTTTGGATGCTCTTATTGCTTATAATTATTGCGGAGTAAACTATATGGTGAAGTCTGTAACAACTATATTCTGTGGGACTTTTCTTTAAGCATTTTCTTTACAAGGTAAGATGTTAATCAACTACATCTTTTGTGTCATTTAATCATAGCACATCCTAATACTTCCTCCCAAAAACATATGCCGAATTTACACTCTCATACAGTAAAATTTATTCCTGTACATTAAGGTCTGGAAGATAAGCATGGTAAAGTCCAGAATGCTCTTCCCATAAACCCTGTGAGAAGGAAACTATTTAGTGTTGTTTTTCCCATGTTAAATACAACAGAATAGTATATAGTTAAAATTAATTTAATCTAGTAGAATTTGAATTTGGCAAAAATGCCAGAAGGATTATACTAGAACTATAACAACAGTAGCAATAGCATTTTTGGAAGTCTGAAATACCGTGTTATGCCTAAGAAGAGTGTTTCAAATACCACATGCTCAAAAAGCCATCCAGATAGGGAAAAAAGCAGCAAAAATAATTTCAGGTGGAAAATGAACCAGTAAATATTCCATAAACTCTCTCCATCTTTTTTTCAGAGATTATGATGACAATTAGGACATTTCTTTGATATTGTCTACGGATGCCAAGTCTATATGCTCAGTTGAGTTATTAAATTCTTAAAATGCATTATGTTCAAATCACACTTTCTAAAGTGGTTTTCTGTTAGAACTACATCAAATGAAAGCCTTATTACTGGCTTAAATGTAATTCAGTTCATCCTTGTTGTGTCAGGAGATGTTTTTATATATAAGGGGAAAGAAATGAAAAAATTTTTTAAAAGCCCACTAGTCATCATGAGGCTTTTTTAATATCATCAGCACTGCCATAAAGGCAGATGATAAACTGCACACTATTTAGAAGAAAGAAATAGAATGAAATTAGCATTGAACTATTCCATATTAATCACAGCCCTGGATTCCTTTCTTTACAGGGAAAATAAAAGTTTAGCTCTTTCATATTGTAATGTTTTCTCTCAGACTTCACCATTATTTGTATGAGAGGGAAATAAGAAATCCATGTACTGAAGGAAGAACACAGGAATATTTTGGACTGGTGGGGTTGCTAAATTTTTATCACTGTTTCCAACCAATAGCAAAGCAACATTGGTGACTTGGGTCCAGATGGTTAGCAACATTTACGTTTCACAATAGTAACCTAGTGAAGCTCTTTAGTGCTGTGACAGGTAAAGGCTTGAAAGGTTTATGGCATGGGAAAAAAGCTTTGATAAATAACTTGAAAATCTGCCTCTTATTGCTTTCATAATTGTTGCTTCTTATAATGGCATAATGGAAGGCAAATTTTAGTTGAAAAAAGGCTAGAAAAGAGGAACTTTCTTTTCTAATAGGAGCTAATAGGATGTACAGTGGGATTTTTTTTTTAAACCATTAAGCCTCTCTCAGACTTAAGGGAAGAATTTAAAGGTCTTTTTTATTATAGCTAGTCTCTCTAGGGATCAGACCTAAAACATGACAGATGGAGATTTTTCTCTGTGCAAGTAGAGAATAATAGTTTCAGGATGATTTAACTGAAAGAAGAAAATTCTAGCATCTCTTCACATGAGCTTTTCTCCCAAATCCTGGTTACCTGTGAAGACCACAACCACAGACCTGGTGTTGTCTTTGCAGTGAAGGGGAAATCTGATGTCTGACTTCTTCAAAGGTCAGGAGCCCAGTCCTGCCTTAACTTGGATCTTTCTGGAAAACCAGGTTTTTAGTACATGGAAATTTGAACAGGTTTTTTTTTGGTTTTTTTTTTTTTTCATTGAAGGAGGTGGAAATAGGCTGAAAAGAACATCTGGAAGCTTTTCAGCCATTGATCAGAAGTGCACCAGGTTTCATCAGCTATTTCCCTTTTCAGTTATAAAACAAGATAGACTCCACCCCCCCACACGCGCACAAAAAAAGGAGTGCAGAAAAGACTGGCTGAAAGATATTTTTCCTATCAAAATTTTTTTTAAAAACTTGGATTGACAATTTCATTTTAAAAATATAAGGCAGACATCTACTTCTGCTAACATTTTCTACTGTCAATTTTCCAAACAGATGCAATTAGAAAAGTGTTGTCAGTTTCCCTGTGGGTAGGTGGAGGTGGTGTGCCTTATGTTCCCCTCCAGCATCACTCAATGCCTACTTGAAGCTGCTACCATTTATGGGTCACATAGCAGGACTCAGGTATTTAGATGCAACTTGCCTCCAGTTGCATCTAAACTTTAGATGCAACATGCCTCCAGTTGCATTGGATATTTAGAGGCTGCCTCCAGCCTCTGCTGGAAGAATGAACCTTAAAAGTGTTGGCTAACACTGGACTTTTGCATTTTCACAGTGTGGCTGATAAAACAACAAAAAATATCAAAGGATATACAGTTATAGCCTATGGCAGGTACACAAAAACAATAGCAAAATAGGCAAAGTAAAAGGGAAGCTACTGAGGAAAAATCCATCAATCTGGTAACTATAGGCATTGCTGAAATCATTCACAGCCAATGGAAATGGAGCAAGGTATATAAATAGCATGATGGGACTGAAGCAAAGGATTCTACGTGCAATTTATTTCAATTGAATGCTATTATGCAAATAAAGCATTTCATTGCAAAGCAGCCAAGATGCATTATTCTATTTCCTGCTGCTAAAATAGAAATTATTCAGCAGTTGTTTGCATAGCATTATTGAGGGGAGGTATACTTGAGCTTCAATAGCTCTTGCTTCATTTGCTGTTATTATTTTGGGCCATACAGTCAACTCAAGACTCTTGCACAGTCCTGACTTCCCACTGCTGCAGGAAAACTATTCTTCTTTTAACCTTCGATGGCTTAAGGTGGGAAAGCATTATAGACATTGATATTTGCTTGATTTGTGAAAAAGTCAAGGCATAGTCCTCTTGGCTCTTTTCCCCAGCTGTCTTGGTTTCTTTTTGAGGTTCTCCTGGAAGAAATTCTATGCTTTCATACTAAAGCCAACATTTCATTTCTCAGTTTCTACAGATCAAGTGATGAAATGTCATGTGTGAACCCCCTGAAGGCTGAGAAGAGAAACTCTGACTTCCCCACAGAAAAATGTGAACTGCAGTTTCTTACTGGCTGACAACACCTTTGACTCAATTTGTATGAAACTCAATTTACTTATTAAAATGGACATTATTGTTCAAATATTAGAAACTCCATTTCTTATATGTTCTAAACTGTACAATTGTCAGATTTTTATGGTTTAGATTGTAAATGTGTTTTTCTCTGGCTAATTATTGGTATTATTTTTTTAATTTTGATGTCTTAAAGGCCAATGTACTGTATCATAATAATATGAAGGACGTATTTAACAGGTGTGGAAAACACTGTATACAAATGTATATTTCTAAAAGCTATTTTTATGATTAGCACATTTTACTGTTTTACCATATTTAGAGTCAGGTGATATTGCACTTCTTTGTTTACTGCTTAGTTCAAACAAGACCATTTTGATCAGTGCACAATTAAATACATTGTATGGTATTTCCCATTATTTTATTCAATTTATTTGTCATTGGCAATAATTACATTTGGTAATAGAATAGCTTCTAAAAAGTGAAAATGTCAAAATAAGAGAGCAATCCTTTATAAACTGTAAATTGCATCCTCCTGTAAATCCCCTTCTTCAGATAAGCCCTCTCTGTGATGCCATTCACCAGACAGTTGTTACAGCTGTTCTTGCAAATCTTTAAAGGCAGTTTGTTGCTACCATATGGAAAGTCAGTCAGCATCCTGTCTAGCCAGAAAAATTACTTATAGCCTGCCAATATCTGACATCCTGAGTTAGCCTACTTATTACTTTTTGGTTTCTTTTCTGGCATTAGTCTTTCCACACACAAACTCCTAAGGCCCTCCTAAAAGACTGAAGTTGGAATAATTAATTATTGCAGACGTAGGGGGAATCTCAGTATAGAATTTCTTAATAAATCATATTTCCTTTCAAACAGAATGAATGCATTATTTCTCATGTGTTACTGAGACATTAAAGGTAAAAAAGCATACAGGCACAAGGACTTCTTCCTCTAGAAAAGTACCAACTTGTTCACCATCCCAAAGTCAGACCTCTTTAGCATTGCAGATGACATGAAACAAGGAATATGTATTTATTCATCTACATCTTTATGTGAGCGGTACTCATATAGAAAGAGACATGTCTTTAAAGTGATTGCAGGGTAAATAAATTATTTATTAGCTACAGCCTCCCTACAGGGAGAGGCATTAATTTAGGAAGTATCTTACACAGTCAAATGGAGCACAGACCCAGTCTGCAGCATTAAGCCCCGACCACTGAGCTCCATGACTGGGGTACTTGCTATTTTACATCATCCAGCACTAGAAAAATGAACTCTTGTCTTGCCCTTTCAAACATTCTCTGTAGGCTGAAAACAAGAGAAAACAAAAGGTATCAGAGAGACTTTTTTAAAAAATCTAACTTTATATTTCTCTTTTAAAAAGCAGTTTCTGAGATGACAGGTTCACCTCAAGTAGTGTGGGTGTAAGCTGGTGGGAGCTCAAGGTCTCTGGTCAGGTTTCTGGCATGGGGACCATCAACAAAGAAGGACTGATGTTTTTCAAAAATTTGGCAGCAAAGCATACCTTTTAATTACCTATTACTGAGTGTGAATTTTTTTTCACTATGTAGCTATGTGACATTGCACTCTCAGTTACGTTTGTGTACCTTATATTTAGCTTGTCTATTGTATGTTACATGGCTTACATAAGTGCTGAGTAGTACCCAGCTCCTTAAATAAGGAAAGACTAGTACAAGCAGTTACACCTGAGCATAAAGAACTGCAGCTTCAGAATTTATCAGGGCTGACTCTCCAAGAAAAGTGCAGGAAAAAATATTACTCCCATGTAAGTGAAATGTTAGGTCAAATCAGAAGGTGAAATACTTCTCCATTTTCTATCACTTAATATAGGTTATGAACATTTTTAACTGTAAAAATGCAAAAAGAATTGCCATTTTGGGATTTCTGTCTTCAGCTGACAGTTAAAAAAATAAAGGAACTCCAAATTTCAGCACCTCAAGGGGCATGTGTACCATTTAAATCACCTAAACTGTTGGCTGACTTAAAAGATGCAGAAAATCATCCAAGGAGATCAGTTCTAATATTGGTGTTAATAAAATAGATATGAGAAACATCTAGGTATATTCTCTCTTCACCACCTCCATTCCAAATTAGCTAACACTCACAAAAAGCACTCTGAGATTTTTAAATGTTCTTCACAATCATTACCCTTAGAGTATAAACACAGAAATGATTGCACATTCATAATGTTGACACTGTTCCACACCACAGCTTAAGTCCTGAATATTTTGAATTTATCCTGAATATTTTTTGAAGACAAAAGTCATCTCTGATGACACCATGAGGCACTATTTCATTTGCAAGCCAGAAGATTGTTGCCCCATGCAGTCTATTACTAGTAAGGTTTCTCAATGGCATGTTTGCTTAAAATCACTCAAGAGGATGCTGGTAGCTTTGACAGAGCTTAATAGCTCTCTGCTGTCCACGTATGCAGTATGCTTGGTGTTGTTTGCCATCACCTGTTATTTGTTTGACATAAGTTTTGTCAGTTGTGGGATTTTTCAACATTGCTCATCCCTTGCAATATGGAGGAATAGGAAACATAAAGGATCTTGTCAATCAGTTTGCACAGTGAACAGTCATAAAATCCTTTACAGACAGTCCTGAATCAAACCAATTCATTTTCTACACATATATATATGCTCTGAGTATTTCAGACGTTTGCTTCAAACATGGGCAGCTGCATGAATGGAAAATGTTTACTAAAAAGCTTTAAAGTTTGGATCAAGAAAAAATATTTTTACTTTTGTAAACCCTTGTATTACATATTGTTGCAGTTCCTATTAGTTTTCTCTGTAGATCCATTTTTAGTTCTGAAAAATCACTGTACTTAAACTATGTAGATAACTATAATCTTGTTAGCAGCCCTATTTTTAATTGGTGCCACTGCAATTTAGATTTGAAACATTCAGAGTTTGCCCATTAGAGCAGATTGATGGTTCATTACAGTTTTCTTTAAAATGTTGTAACATAATTTTTACATGTCTGTAAATAAATATTTTCTCTGATTTATGCACTAATTCAGTTTTGCAATTTCTTCTTTTAAAATATGACTCTAAGATACTTTCTAGGAAAAATGTATTTCTCTCATGGAAAAATGGCATTTAAATCTCTGTAGTACAGCCATCCTTCAAAAACTTTCAAAGCAGACCAAACAGAAGGAGGCATTCATAATATTAAGTACTGAACTTCAGTAAAATGGATAAAAATGTTAAACTTGCTATCATTTTAATAGTTTGAGATATTTAAGTACTAGTTCCATATTAAAAAATGACTGACAAGAAATGTGACTGACTTTCTGAAAAGAGGGACCTCTTCAGAGGAGTGAGAAAGAGGGAGGCACAGTGGGATATTACATTGAATTTAAGAAATGCATTTTCTTAATCTTGGAAGTTTCTAAGTTTCATGTATCACAAAAGCAGTATGAACATAATTTACAAAAACCATGCCAAAAATAGTTATAATTTTCTGCTCAATATCCAAATGCATTTTTCATTCATAGTTCCCTATTCCATTCACAAGGTGTTGCTATGCTGGCAAGCTAAAGAAAATTGGTCCACAAAGTCTATGAGAATGATTTTGAATTATATTGCTATTGTTGGGAAGCATGACTGTTTTGAAATATAAGGTAAAACCAGCACAACTTGACAAGTTAGTACAGTAGCTCTGAGCATTTATCAGCAATGAAGCGTTCTGGACACAAGAATAGAAGAGAAAGAGAAAATAAAGGCACATGTGCACAGCAGTTGGAGCCCTGTGTTTATAGTCCATGCCCTTACAAGAATCAGCTCAGGAAAACTGGTAAGAAAATCCTCTGAGACTCCTTAATAAAAATACTGCATGCTACAGGGAATACACAGTTGTTGGGTTTTGGGTGGTGGAATAATAACTCATTTGAAACAAAAATTGCTTGAAGTTTTGTGGCTGCTATAACAAGTACTCTTTTCCTGACTAACCCCTCAAAGAGAGATTGTTGTTCCACATTTGTGCAAACAGAATTAATCCACAAATATCGCACTTTATTTTAACAGAAAACCAGTTTGCAGAGCATTCATCCCATATAAATCCCACCAACCAAACAAAAATGTTTCTAAAGGTTACATTTGAATCTTTCTGATACTGTCCTGGCTACATGACTTAGCAGCCTAAGGTAATGGAGAAAAAACTTTGCATAACCACTCTACTGGTGTATTACTATATGTGACTATATCTATGCATATGTGGAAAAAATATCCTTCCATTTCTTTGTGCTTTAGATAATTACTAGAACTAGAGACAACTAAAGTTGTGTAAAATAAGAACCAAACTCATTCCTGTTGACAGTCATCAAATAAGTACCTTCAGTGTATACTCCAACTGGATTCTTAACCAGAAACTGTGGTCAGTGTTCATTCTATGAGTAGTTACAGAAGCATTTAGCAAATTACTTAAAGAAAGAAGAAATTATATTGCTGCTAATAATATTGCTGCTGCAGCAGGAACACGGTGGAACATGGTGGAGGAACAGAGGATTTACAGCATGGCAGGGATGCAGCTTGAATCTGGTGCTGAGATCTCAAGGAGTATTGAAAGGATTTTACCTCAGAATGACTGAGGAAAGGGGACTTTTTGTACTTGTACTCATTTTATATTTGAAGAAACCTCCCCTATATATTTAGTTATTTTCACATCTGACAGCATGCCATGATTTTGATGATTCTTTCAAGGGGTAAGTCTCAAAATTTGCATGTGATTTTGGTCAAATTTAGTGAGAATTCAACACTTAGCAATAAGTAGTCAATCACACTAAATATTTACCATTTCTTCAGAGTTTTGGCCTTGGTGCTTAATCCACAAGGCAAAGGAGGGATTTCATTAATATCTGTTTACTTGAGTGGTCACATTAATTGCAAATCTATTCTTCCATTGATAGAAAAGCTATAGATCATAGAACCATAGAATGGTTTTGGTTGGAAGGGACCTTAATGTTCAACCAGTTCCAAGCCCCCTGCCCCCTGG